CTCTGAGTTAGTCTCGTTGTCCGTGCACACGTAAATACAGGGATTTTTTTGTTCTAGACCCCTCGATAAACATTTTAAATTAGCCTTAAATGAAAGGAAGACTCTAAACATTAATTTGATGGAAGTTTCAGCGATATTGATCTTTTTAAGATAATGTTTTCCATCTGAGATACGTGTTACGACTAATTTATCAGAGGTACACAAGTGGAACGACTCACCTCAATTTATGTATCCATAAATCTGCATGAAAATCCAGAATATATTTGTCTCATCCCACATAAGCTGATGTAAATTGTATTTTTATTTTATGATATTTGATATGCGAGAATTGCCCGCCAAGTTTTGAGTAATTTCTGAACTACTGTTCATCAGCCAAAAGATCTTTATCTCCTTAACAGCTTTGCCAAATACAGTAAATTTCTAGCTGTTCAGGATGTCGAGCGCCACGTGGTGAGAAAATTCTGTACTGTCAACCAACGAAAAAGTTTTGATCTCCTGGACAACTTTGCCGATGACAGTTTAGCAGGTCTCGAAATACATCTAATGCGAGAATTGCACGTGTATACAAGCGCAATGATGTGAAAAAAAAATTGAATTTCTGCCAACCAGCCAAAAGACCTTGACCTCCTGAACAACTTTACCGAAGACAGCTATTTGGTCAGGATCTCGTGATATTTTATATGTGAAAATTTCACGTGTATACTAGCACCGCTTAGGAAATTCTCAACTATTGTACACCAAGCAATAGACTTTGACCTCCTGAACAACTTTGTCGATGACAGTAACTTTCTATCTGGTCAGGATCTCGCAACAAACCACATGCGAGAATTTCACGTGTATTCTAGGGCTACGTAGTGAGAAAATTTTGAACTACTGTCCACTAGCGATATATATCTGATCAGAATCTCAAGATATTCTACATGCGAGAATTTCACGTGTATACTAACGCCACGTATTGTGAAAATTCCGAATTATTGTGGATCAAGCAATAGGCATTGACATCATGAACAACTTTTTCTAAGACAGTAATTTTCTAGCTGTTCAGAATCTCGAGCTATAGCATACGCGAGAATTGTACACGTTTACTAGCGCCACGTGGTAAGAAAATTCTGGGCTACTGTCCACCAGCCAAGTCTTGACCCCCTGAACAAGTTTGCCGAAAACAGTAACTTTCTATCTGCTCAGGATCTCGAGCTATTGTATATGCGATAATTGCATGTTTGTACTAGCACCAAGTATTGAGAAAATTCTGAACAACTGTCCACCAACGAAAAGATCTTGACTTCCTGAACAACTTTGCCAAAGACATTTACTCTTTATCTGGTCAGGATCTAGTGATCACATCACATGCGAGAACTTAACATGTATACGAGCACTACCTAGTGAGAAGATTCTGAACTACTGTTAACCAGCAAAAAGGCTATGATCTCCTGAATAGCTTTGCCTAAGACAGTAACTTTCTATCAACTCAGGATCTTGAGCTATTGTATATGCGAAAGTTGCACGTTTATACTAGGGCCACGTAGTGAGAATTTTCTGAACTACTCCACCAACGAAAAGACCTTGACTTCCTGAAAAACTTTGCCGAAGACAGTAACTTTTTATCTGGTAAGGATCTAGAGATATATATATATGCGAGAATTTTACATGTATACTAGCGCCACGTATTGAGAAAATTTTGAACTTTTGTGCACCAAGAAATAGGCTTTGATCTCATCAACAACTTTGTCGACGACAGTAACTTTCTATCTGGTCATGATCTCGAGATATATCACATGCGATAATTTCACATGTATTCTAGCTCTACGTAGTGAGAAAATTTTGAACTACTCTGCACCAGCGAAAAGGTTATGATCTCTAGAACAATTTGCCCAAGACAGCAACTTTCTATCTGGTCAGGATCTCGAGATTTTCCATGTTGTAACCAATTAAGTCAAATCCCACGTAGTACGGACACCGTTTACGCGGTTTCCATTCACATTTTCTCTATTAACCGCATTTTTTTGGGGTTAATTGTGATAAAAGTTTAGCTTTTTTAGTTAAAAACAAGTTTTTAAAGGAATACCCGTTGATTTCATATCGATTGGTAGCTCGGCTGCAAAATGGCAATGGAAAACTCACACTGTTGTACAAAGTACAACGCGCGAGTACTCGTGTTACAAAAGTTGGCGCGAGTAACGGAGGGTTAATGATACTGATAAACGCCTAAATGTTTACCGTAAAGGATCAAAACCCTGGCACCTTTAAAAGTTAAGTCTTATATTTAAGCATTTCCCCAACTTTTATGAACTGCTTTTATTATTAGAACTTACAAACGGTGAATCTCTGTGGACATCTTATTTCTGATTTATTCATTACCTCGAATTTTAAAGAGGAAAAATATCAGCTCTCACAAAACATATAACATTGAAACTGGAAGGCCACGTTCGCTGTAGTGCAGCAAATAGGGAGCTCCAATTTCAAAAGCGATGTCTCAATAGTGTTCGAGATTTGTGCTCTAGAGAATACCAACTGGCATATCAGCTTTGGCCTTTGTGGACTTCAAGGAACCATTTAAATTTGATGAACACAATTATGGTGTAGCGACCTAAAGATAGTAGAACTAATTCTTCCTGTTCCACTTCCCCTAGTGTACCTTATGTGTCAGATATTTATGTAACTGCAGAATCTATATTACCACAGACATTACTCTTTGAACAACCTCCCCTTCAAAACATTGTTAAGTATATCACTAATCCCATCCCTCAAGCTATTCGCGATCAATAAGCTTCATTGCAAAATCGTAACTAATGTTATGCAAGTTCAATATTTTATATAGAAACGTAAAAAAACGATGCAAGCGCTGTGGTAGGTAATTCTCGAAACTGATCATATTTAATTTGAACGTTTAATGAGTGTACGATGATTGAGAATGAAAAGATGCGTCTGAGTATCTGTGATATAATATCCATCTACACGGTTCAATAAAGTTGTGTAAATTTATGTTACTATGATGCACATAAATGGAGCATCATATATCATACAAGTTTTCATTAAAGATCGTCTAAATGTATGAGACATGCAATGAGATATACTATATATGGTATGAAACCGCCCATCGTTGTAAGCAAAATCTCTTGCTGGTTTACGTGAAAAGATTTACCTGCATGAATGTTTGCATGAATCGATGTTTACATTACCAGTAAAATTCAGATTGTTTTCTGTGTATGTGAATTTGTTCGTAAATTCTGCGTACATTGTATAAAGTAATATTACGTTACAACCAATTGAATGTGCACGTGCAGCTATTTGGATGTAATATTCAGCAACTTAGAGCCCCCCTTAGCTCAATTGGTAAAGGCGCAGCTATAAAGCAAGACCATGCTGGAAGCAGCTGGGTTAGATTCCCAATACGGTTCAAGTAGGAAACTGATGGTGATGATGACCTGATGGACTTTCCTGAGCATAATTAAGTACGGTTGTACTTGCCAAACAATAAATACTTATGTAAAAATGGTACAGGTTTAGAAAACTCTCAATTAACAACTGTGGAAATGCTCAAACACACTAAGATGAGCGCCAGCGTAAAGTCCCAGAGGAGAACTTATTAAGCTAAATAAGAATATTCAACAACTTATTTTCCATTGTACCTAAGGTTACAGTTTTCACTATAATAAGATCACTTCACTTTAAGATTAAAAGCTTGATTATTTTTTTCAAGCTAATTATCGCTTGGAATTGATTGAAAAACGACGTCATCATAGGAGCGGTTGTAAGGAATTCTAATTTGGTGTATATTTATAAGTGTATACTTTTCTTGAAAGATCATTTAATGATTTATTTTGCATTTTCTCAGAGAACCTTTTTTTTGTAAAAAAAAACATATGCGCTATGCGCATTAACCCTGATCAAAGAGCGCCAACTGGTCAAAAACTGAAAAAAAATCTGATGTTGTTTTTTTTTATAATACTGTCAACTCGACATATTTTTAAAGTTGTAGGGAATATCGAGATATGGAGAGATCGGGATATAGAACAAGAAAAGCCTACAATTTGAAGGGACCGACATAAAAAAGTGGCTACATATCGAGATATAGAAAATTGCATGGAGAGTTGGCTGTAATATCAAAAATACATTTTACGCATAGTTTTTATTAATCAGCTGTCTTCTAATAAAAGGAAAGGGGCCCTCCAGTAAAATCAGTGATTGCATTTTTTTTTAAACATGAGCTATAGTGACTTTTTCTCTCAGTGTATTATTTGCAAAAGATAATCAAACTCCCTACAACTTCTTTTCAACCGTATTCATGATATTTATGAATTTAAATAATTTGTGGAGATGCTCACACCCAACCGGGGGATGTAAGATTTGCTTACAATAATGAAAAATTCACCATCACAGGATGTTATTGGAAACCAACAAAGTGTGGATTTGAAGGGGTGAATTTAGTGCGCTTCGTTTTTCATTCGGCAATCTCCCTTGTGGTCACGTCATAACGTTTGTTTCGATCAGCATTTGCATAGGAAATTTTATATGGATTATAGAATTCCTGTATATTATCGAATTTTCTTCCCCTGATTGTTCAGATAATATATTGATTATTGGATTATCTCACTGTATACAATGAAAAAGCAGCCTGCCCTATGGATGATCACCAAGCACCTCCATTGAATGCTTCATAACTCTGTCTTGCCATTTAACTAATATTATTGTGTCATAATGATCATCCATGCATTCGCAAATGAATTTCACATTTGAAACAGATCTTGCCGACTATTTGCGTGACCATGCGGATTCCAGACGCCAAAGAACTCGCAACCATTGCACTCAAATAACATAATTATTAACTTGTAGTCTTGACGGTAAACTATTTCAAAGCATCACACAAGAGCACGTGCACTTGATACTGCATAGCCGTTCAATTGAAGCGATAAAAAATCGTATGCAAATAGCATCCTGCCTTATCAATACTTCTGTGCATTACTTTGAACACCGTACACCAACAAAAAAGTACGACTCACCTGCTTTGCTAGACGCCTCGGTATCACCCACATCGTGCAGTTGTTTCTGTAAGCTCAGATAAACCACACTGTAGGTGTTAATTATACCAAACAGTACACCGTTGCACAGAAAGGCTCCCACCATCACTAACCAGGCTCGAGTGCCTCCATCTGGTGGGTCGTGAACCTCTTCCACTGCCGCTGCTGATCCATTTTTTGCCTTCGGTAGATGGCCGTTAACCGCAGATCCATTCACGATCGTACCCACCGCCGTGTCCCCATTGACAAACTTCACCGTTTCAGCCATTATTCAAATCTATCGCGGTTATCTACCGTCTAACAGCTATCGTTTCTTTGTGATTGATTTTCTATTGTGAAAACAAATCAACACCTTGCACTCGTACCACTTGAACTTCAGACGATAAACGACAATCGATTATCGGTTGTATGGCATTTCAATTTTGATTCAGTCTGTTCTCGAGGCACGAAAAATCACAACTTCAAAGTTAAAATCCGGAAGACAGCCAGTGACCGATAACTTGTACCAAACTGAACGATTTTTTTTTTAATTTATTCTGAAGGCGATAATTTGCTGTGCAAATATTAGTCAATCGTTCCGATCTCTTTATAGGTCATCGAATGTACTGAACCTCCGTTCTTATCACTACATGGAAGTAAACGGAAGGGCTGAGCGATCGTTTTCATTCAATTTCAGCAATCACCGCGCTTATCACCAACCAAGCCTCGTCCTTAGCTTTGATCTTCAGTTGAGGACACTCGGTACGCACTGTAATGTCTTTCTGCGGTCGTCAATAGTTTAGACTACCAAAGAAATGATTGACGACTGTTTCCGATCTACGACGAATTGGCACAACCGTCCTTCTGCGCTGACTGTCCGCTGATATCTGAAGATCTGACCTGTAGAACGGTCGTCCATACGTAGAACGGCAGCGCGTACCGTGCTCGGATGTTCACTGCGCTGCGGCACGTCCAAACAGCTTTAAATAGAAATTGAAACTGAGTTAGAGTTTTGTCGCACACAACGCGTTTGGTGTGTATAGAAGCGAACACATTCTTAAGCTAATGTTTGTCTGTCCATCGAATGAGAGATAGTGCTTCGCTGCCGGTCAGTATGAGAGATTCACTCATTGATCAGGGTTGCCAGTGGACAATTATGAATAAAATTGGAGAATTTACTTCTTGGTGTGAAACTGTCTATGAGATTATGTTCGGGTTTTAAAAAAACGATTTAGAATAATTTTCTATTGAGTTGATTCAATTGGCAATACAACATAGACATCATGCACGATAATGTTAAATTTTAATCACTCAACAATGCAGTAAAGGCACGGCATATCATGCTAGAGGTCTGGGATCGATGTCTGGATTGGACGGGAGTATGTTTGGGCAGGATACACCCCTGACTACACAGCAAAAAAATAATTTTGATATCACGTCAAAGTGGATGCACTACAATCATGTCGAAAATATGATGTAATATTACTTGCTAAAAAGGACAAAATTATCATTAATACAATGCATGAACTGACATTACGCTGCTTTTACTGCATTTGTTTATTTATGTGGTCATAAAAATTACATGAAATTTTCGACATGATTGTAGTGCATCCACTTTGATGTGATATCAAAATTATTTTTTTGCTGTGTATCCTGCACGGAAATAAAATCCCAAAAAGCTCAAAAAGTCCACAGTCTACTGACAGTTGTCTTGTTACAGTGAGTGGTAGTCGTCGAAAAAGTGTCCAAAGATTTCAATACAATTCTACATAATGTATGTAATTATGTAGGTACCATAAGTGGGGGTGACATTTTAGTAAGAAAAACAAATTTAAGGATGTGAATATGTTCATAAATGATAAATGTACGACTTTCATGGAAATGGTTAATTGAAATTGATACTTCATTTTTCAAAAATTAAATAAAAAATAGACCAATGTAAAACTTTGTGGGGATGACATTGGGATTCAAAAATTTTGTTAAAATATCTTAAAATATGGTAAAGTATCGTAGTTATTAGAAGTACACTTGGTTATGATCATAATGTATAGCTAAAGATCAATTTTATCACTCGTCTATCCACATAAAAACGTGCTCATTTTTAAAAACGTGTTTTTGCTACTATTTATATCACTTTACTCTACAGTACTATTTAAATAAAACAACTGGTTAATTTTAACAACACTTTACTCCAGGAGTTCAAGAAACATATTCTAGTAATAATATTCTGTATATTCAAGATGTTTGCATAAATAAATATTTTCTTTTTTGGCCCAATGTCACCCCGTCGTACGATAATTTAATAAATTAAGTAATTTTTGACCAAGGCATTGTACGATGAAAAACATTCCAAAAGGATCCTAGATGCTTTAAATGTGCTTCTACCAACACTGCTCTTTCCACATTTGCACCGGACACGCGATCGTTACTGTGCGAAACACGAAAATAACAAAAAATCACTCTCAACTCAACCGACTAACCGAGCCTGATAACAAAACGTCGCCACTCGTTACTGTGAACACTGAGTGTCCTTCCTTGGAGAAAAACCAACACGGACAACCGCGTGGGAGAGAGGAAAGCTACATGAAAATGTAAAACACCGGTCACTCACTACTGCTGCTATATTTGGTTATGTAGGTAGTAGGTATACACTAACAACACTCGTAGTAAAATTATCCCATATAGTGATGCGTGCGCGATCACCATTCATTGGGAAGCACGTGGAGCTTGAGAGCACTCGCGTGTAGGTATGGAAAACATAGAAGTAAAGGGTGTCCACGATGAAATTGCCACGCACAAAATTGATTCGCAAAATTCGAGTTTTCATCCGATTGCCATCAAATTTTCAGGGATTGAGAAATAACTATTAAACTTCATTTTACCATTTTACTCGTATTTTATTTACAGTCCATACGCAAATGCCCGCACCTTGGCCTTAACCCCGGCCATAAGATTCTGCACAACCTGTGAATCAACCGTTTTTTGCATGTAAACCCATACTTTCTTCAGTTCCTCGACTGTCTTCACTACCTTAGGTCGTTTAAGAAGGTGCTGCTTCATAATCGCCCAGTACTTCTCGATGGGGCGGAGCTCCGGAGTGTTGGGAGGGTTGAACATTTTCGGCACGAAATTGACCTTATTGTCCGCATACCACTTCAGCACGTCCTTGGAGCAGTGGCATGAGGCCAAATCCGACCAGAAGATTGTTGGGACGTTGTGGGCCTTCAGGAGAGGAAGCAGCCGCTTCTGGAGGCACTCTTTTATGTACACCTGTCCGTTCATCGTGTTCTGGGTCACGAAAGGTGCACTCCGCTTCCCGCACGTGCAGATGGCTTGCCAAACCAGGAATTTCTTCGCAAATTTGGACATCTTCTGAGTGCGGACATGCTCCGGAACGCTGAACTTATCCTTGGCCGTGAAAAACAGGTTGCCGGGGATCTGTTTGAAGTCAGCCTTCACATATGTTTCGTCGTCCATGATGCAGCATTCAACTTTCGTCAGCATGTTGAGGTACAACTTCCTGGCACGGGTTTTGGCGGACTTGTTCTGCTTCTCGTCGCGATTAGGGGCCTTTTGTACCTTGAACGTTCGAAGCCCAGCCTTAGTTTTGACCTTCTGGACAAAACTGCGGCTTAGGTGCAGCTTCTTAGCCACATCCCTAACGGAGGCGTTCGGATTTCGGTTGAAGGCCCCAACTACGCGGTTGTGATTTTTGGTGTTGTACGGAATACTTTTTCCTTCACTTCTGGGCTTCCGATCGGTGGTCAACCGTTCCTCGAACCGCTTAATCACTCGCGACACCGTGGAATTCGCGATTCCCAACGTTTTAGCGATGGAACGATGCGAGAAATCCTTGTTCTCGTGATGAATGCGCAAGATTTTATCACGCACGAGCTGTTCTTTCGACTCCATTTCCGCGAGTTTTGATCACAGGACTTTAAAACTTGCAGGATGTAAATAATGCACTATGAACTAAATCCACCAAAATTTTCATTAAATTCTACCCAACGGTTAAAAAGTTAGAGCAATTTCATAGTGTGGCAATTTCATCGTGGACACCCTTTAGGTACGAACTCAACGAGTGTGCGCACTTTCGCCGGTATTAACAAAAGAAAAACTCATCCACTCAGTAGGGAAAAACGATGCATCAACTCTCTCTCATCAACTCTTTCTTTCTCTGTCTGTCTGGTTTGGTGTACCTAGAAGATATCTCCTGAGAAGTAAACAATTTTCTTCACCACGCAATTCCGATAGGGGCACGAATTTCAGCACGTTTTCGAAAATATTTAAGTTATTTGCGCAACATTGCTTCTCGCGTGGGTTCACTTATAGTGATGCAACACAAGACTGACCACAATTTTTTGTATTTAATCGTGATAATAATCAGATGGGTCTCTAGACGACAGGCAAGAATGCATTAATTAACATTGGTCACTTGGTTACACAAGGCATGAAATAATGTATCTACGAAGTCATTATTCTATTCATTCATTTATTATACATTCTATTCAAAAGTTTAATTGATAACTACAATACAAACTTCTTACTTACTACTACTTAAAATTATGACAAAAATTCTGAAGTCCACAAGCAATTCTAAATAAAATGAGAAATCAGACAATTTCTGAATGCTTTCAATGTTGGTGTGGAGTTCACTAATGTGAATTGATGTGTTGTTGTTTTGGGTTTTCACGAAAATCAGAGGCCTCATTATGAATGTCAAAATTAAGCGTTTTTTGTATGAACGCTAGAATGAAAAAGTCGTATCGACTTACGTACATAATGTGGCCCCAGAGGCCGGAGGAATCCGCGATGCCCGGCTGTGGCTAATGTAGTCCCCCGTTTAATCAATTTAATCACATATTATGGTTTTGCCTTTCTCGTACACCTCGGTGTACCAAAAGGCTACAATATCACTTGAAAAGCGCATTTTCGATCTAAAACTCGGTAGGTTAAGTATAATATACAATTCAACTAGCTCGGAAAATGTATATGTGTGTATATCGTATATTTGTGTGTGCATTTCGTTACTTATTCACCTTTCTCGGCGATGGCTGAACCGAAAACAAGCTTGTGTTTCTAGCTCCTATAGAACCTTATCGATATGTGGATATCTGGTTCCAGAGATATGACCAACACAGTTCAATTTTGTAAGTACCACAGTTCTACTCCCTCAAGTTTTTCGGAGATTGTTTTACCGATTTATAGAACTGTTGAATTTCATCACTATCGGTTGTTTGGTTCCGGAGATGACCAAAATAGTGAAATTTTGCATCAAAACAGGGTTACATACTCACTCCCTTCTCGACGATTGCCTAACCGATTTGAATGAAATAAGTTTTTTTTTTTTCTATTTCCCATAGAACCCTATTGAATTTCATCCCGATCGGATGTTTGGATCCGAATATATAACCAAAATAGTGAAATTTTGCAATTAACCGATAATACTCACTCATTTTTCTCGCCAGTGGCTCAACCGATTTGAGTTCCACCAGTTCCATTGTGTTTGCACACTGATAGGAAAAATAAAGTGCCCAGCACATATATTTTTTAATTTCTCTAATTTATTTGGTTCAAATTAAAGTAAACACACTGTAGTCGTTAGATGTAATTAGTAATCGAAAGCATTCAGTCACCCCTTGTATCAGACGTGTCCGCCTGTCAATGAGGAGTCGAGCGGCAGTCGTGGACAAGAGAAGAAAACCATAAACATGTACTTTTGGTCGTGAATAAAGAACAATATGGTCGTTACGATATCTGTACAAATACATTCATTATATTGATATTATATTTTAAAAATTCTTTATATTCACTTATGGATTACATTTTCAACTGTAAACAAAATAAATATGAAGACATTCGGTAACAAAATTGCTGAGATATTCTTGTTTGAAGTTAGTGGTTCAAAAACGGGTCCCACGATATCGCATCACTGCTTCGACCAAATCGGTTCATTTTATGGGTGAAGACTTGTTAAACA